AATGCAAATACAAGCAAAAGACAAAATTCAGAACATAACCTTGACCTTTGACCTTGGCCTCATTTTCTAAGTCAGGATCTAAGGACCTCAAATAAAAAGACTATAGGTTTATACGGCCTACGGATTATAAGTTACAAAAACTTTACGACAAATTTATTTGATTAAGGTAGATAACTCCTATAAAATTTCACCGGATCGCTTCGATCCAAATCAGCCAAAAATTTCTAAGGTTGTAACAAACAAATATGAAAAATAATTTTGTCGTTATCTTTTTTGGTTACGGAGGAAATACACTAACAAGACAAACAGTGTTTGGGGAGATAACTCTTACAACAACAAGTCTGCGCCTTAACAAGATAAGTTTTTAAAGCGCAATAACTGTTCGATATAATATCCAAAATATCTAAGCGACATCTTGCGAAACAACTTTATACCGCAAGAATAACACCAGTATGAACTCTCAAGGTCACATCCGATGTAAAAAAGGCAATCGATGTTTATACTAAGAGAACTTCAATGATGAAAGTCAACGCAAATCACAAGGAAGAATTAAGACGTCAGATATTTAAAAGTTATTATATAAACATATCTAAAATGTAGTTCAATACCAACACTAACATGCTAAAACAATAACAAATAAAGCGCCAAAAACAAATATAACATGGCCGTTTGCTTTCTGGTTATTTGATAAACACATATAAATACCCGTTTAATGTTGAAAACAAATAGCTATAATAGATTTGTGTCATTAGGTTGATGTGCGAATGGTTCATTCTCTAAATCTCCTTTTATTCATAAAAAGAAATATAATAGGGATAGCTGTTTCACGATTTCTAACGTACTCTTTGTTGCTGTTTTTTTTTATTTCCATACATTGGAAATCTAAGTGTTCTTTTCCATATCAGTCCATGTTTGATCCCACGACCCATATGAGCACTCGACTCGTGTCTCGTGGTGATTTAATATGGAAGTTTCGGGATAATATCAGCGCAGATATGGAAAAGGACATGTTATAATCTATAATATTAAGTCACATTGTCAGCGTATATTTATTCCCCCTAATAGAAGTTCCTTTTTAAAATTTTGTTATATAGAATGTAATATTTTTTTCCTGTTGGACCAAATATTCTATATACCCTTTATTCAGTCGGGAACAAATATATCAATATTCTTCCCATGGAAATTATATTCCAGAATATTTCTTCTGTTTGGAATTAATGCTATGAAGGAACTTTTATTCCATGACAACATATACCTTTTGACACAATATGTAGTAAATACGGAAATTCGTAGGTAAAAAAGGGTTTTATATTGATGTAATATGAACATGGTTTCGTCCAGCATATAATTGAACGATTGTCCGATGTACGTTTAACGCCCGAGGATCCCGATACGACCTCATTCTCGGTTATGCTGCAACAATCGAGAGCATCAGATATTTACACACTTTCCTGACTTTATAGGCTCATTGTGCCGGTTGTTTTGTAAGCTCTTTTGCAATATTTATAATTACCCAAGACATATTCCAAATGTTTGGTTTCTTACACGTGCACTGGAAAATAAAGACAATGGATAAGGTATACGACTATGACTTTGTCTTGCAACAGGACACCTTTGATCCCATATTATCAGTGTTTCAAACAGATAGAGAGAGAGAAAGAGAAGGGTGTGCGAAAGAGAAACACATAAAAAATTATATGATATAATATGCAGCATGCTTCCATTCAAAAGTGAAATCCGTAACTATGCCGATCAAATATATACTTGTAATAAAACAGGTTACGAATTGTATATTATAATAGTTTTTTTCGGACAAATCTAATTTATTCAACTACTTGTGTATCGAATATGACACTTCTGTGTATGAGATGAATTAAGTAAGTCTTGTCTTGTCTTGAGAAATATTTACATGGCGATCGGTTGTATTTTGAACAGATATATCATGTTAAGGAGGGGTATGTGCGAAAAATACCAGTCGAGAGAATGTTAAATTTCGCGAGCCGTAAGGCGAGGGAAATTCATTCTCAAGACTGGTATTTTTCGCAAATACCCCTCAAGAACATGCTATATCTGTTTAATTACACCGAATGTTAACGTACAAAACGCATTGATGATCGTGACATTACAAGCGTCCGGTCGGATAGAGTATTTTTTGGCAAATACCACGGCAGAGAGGGTAAAAAAGGCATATCCTTTTTGCATGTACCCCGGCGCTGTTTAAAAATGAACGATATTCATTTGATAAAAGTAAATTGGTGAAAAATACACTGGCTATCAACCAATCAAAACCCAGGATTCTTACATAAGGTGTAATTAACACCAGTACATGTCATGTAATTAATTAGTTTATGTGTTACATGGAAATAAAACATTATCATCTATTGAAAACTTACACAAACATAGCAAGAACAATCCAATATTAATAAGTCGATACAAAACTATTGCGTAACATCATAATGTCTTTCTTGAATACAAATCCATAGTTTTAGAAATAGGGCTTCAAAAATCTAAAAAAAAACGATACAATTTGGTTCTAAATTTAGGACCCTCTCGAGAATTTAATATTGAGCAATTTGTCCATGTATGACACAATACAACATTTTCTGTAACTAACGGTCAAGTATTTAATTTAGACAGATTACTTCACGAAAACATTAAATTGAAATATCACATGGTTTTTTGTAAACAAATATCACACAAAATAATCATTATTACGATAAACTCGTCGAAGGTAAGAAAAAACGATTTTATGATAAGTGTTTTAAATGCTTTAGTGATTAAAGTCGGGAGAGATCCTTTAATGAAAAATAATGACAAATGTTAAGTTATTGTTACTTTTAAAAATCAACACCTAACAGTAGGATATAAATTTGACTTTTTAGTGAAATAGCAATTAGTGCTATTTGTTAGTTTAGAGGAAAGGTGAATATACAGGCTGATTTTGGGGTAAGACATGTTTTCTATTTTACGTTATTTATCCAACAATTTATTTAGCAAAATATTTGAATTTTATAAAATCAAATTTGCTTTCAAAAGATATCGAATAATTGTTAATTTGACATTTACCAGCTATACAAGAACGGCCTTTCAATTATTCACTTTGTCAACGTATATTAAGTGTTTCTCCTAAAAGAAGTTTCTCTTTGAAAAGGATGTCCACGTTAAAAAAAAATTTTTTTAATTTTTTTTAGTATATGACATGAAAAGGTCAGTCTTCATGACTAATCCATATTTTTATTATGTTTAAATTTTTAGCTTTATTTTTTTTTGTATTGTTTATTTGTTATATATTTACTCCACGTAATTACCACCTTATACATTCTATTTTAAATTATAATATGTTTCCTTTTCTGTACCACTACCAATTGGTTTAAGAGAAAAAAGTGTTATAAACGATGCTATAATATCTGTTCCTGTTTTAGCAAATATTCAGACTATGCTCTTTACTCTGTCAGGAACAAATAATATGATGTTTGTCCAGAGGAAAATGATATTTCAGAATATTTGTAATTATTATACAACTTTCTGGGACGTATTAATACTCATCCACTTCCGGCCTGTATGTATATGGACGTTACCTCTGCTGCCTTCGTGTAATGTACTTGGGGCAGTCAAAATTTCCCGGAAGTCACCTCGGTCATCTAATTTTCAAGAACCTGCCCATCGAATTATTTGTCAAATTGTTTTCGTCATGAGTTTTTGTTTGTGCATTACGTTTTCTTTTTGATTGTAATGTTCGTCTTTATATCGTCGAAGTAGAGCGTAGTTTATAGAATTATTACAGGTCGCTGTGTTCCACCAGATCTATACAAGACTTTCTCCTCAGATTAACAAAATATATCGGTCAAAACGCACACTCTCTTTTTGTTTAATCTGCAAATTTTCTAATCCAAATTCTGTTCTTTTGTGCATCTAGACTTTGGAAGTATCATACGGCTATTATCGTGACAAAAGTTAAGACAATAAAATCTTTATTAATGTTTAAAGGCTATGTATAGGTGCAGTAAAATCAACAAAATCAATAAGAAACATAAAAAAAAATGTTTTCATTTAATTTTATGGGTATTTTAATTTTTCTCTACACTTTATATGCTTTTAAGACGGCTATATTTTCTTGCGTTATAATAATAAAAAAAAACAGACAGTGGAAACAAATTCTATTTCAGTAGCAATAAATGTTTTTGGCACATAGTTTCTGATGGTTTTGCCAGTGTCAAAAAAATAATCGCAATATAAATATTGGGACCTTCTTGTCTTCGATAGACATGGAAAAAAACATGCTTTCAATCATGAGAAATAAACCGTTTGCAATCATCGCAAACTGATACACGAACCTGCAGTTGTACTCTCTCAAGCTTTAGAAACTTTCCCTTGTTCTTGTAAATTGCAGTATGGGCTATTATTTCATATTCATATTGGTTACATCCTACGTAGAATTTACTGGTTTTTCAGAGAATTCGTTCATCGCCTATTTACATCCTACGTTAGTTTGCATGCTCGGTCATTCGTTCGGTACAACTACGGAATTACCAGGAAATTTGCACATAAAAGTTACAAAATTATCAGATGAAAGAAAAGTTTGTTATTTAGGTAAAATCTTATTAAATTTTAAAGGTATAAGAATTAAAAAAACAAACGATTTTTCTAGGGTGATCAAGGTTGTAAAACGATTTAAAATGAAAATAACACATTTCATTCAATTAAATCTGAAGTGTTATCATTACAATGTTTCAAAAATTTGTCATTGATATGCGATATTATTATGAAGTAATTGTAAATGTTTTCAACTAAAGTATAGGCTTATCTGTGACAGTGCAAAAGGATCGAAATTTACAAAAAAAAATGTATTTAAAGGAAACCAGAACTGTCAAACGGTGGTTTAAGTGGATATATGTTTACTTGTAAGATTAAGTATTTGTTGATACAAGACAATATCTGAATCTATGCACTCAAAAATATCAAGGTAATGTCATGACATATTATTTGTTTGTACATTGCAGGACATTAAACAAATAAAAAGATATACTCGAATAGTACGTCAAAGATTTGCGTTACGTAACCGTGGATTGGTTGGTCCGGAATACTCCATAACAAGTGAAAGGATATTAAACATATAATAAATTTTTGCCATCACCCCGTCCTGGATTGTCAGATATATTTACATTTAAATTGTAAATTGTTCAGCAATATGGGAATATTGAAGTAGTCGCAAACGTATTGCATGGTAAATGGATATGCCAGCTCTGTAAAGAGAAATATGAACTGTCTATCTCACTTGAACTGTGCAAATATAGTCAGAAGCCCTATCTAGAGAACAAACAGACACACAAAGAAACAGAATTTACAAAATTTATCCGATATTGTTTGATCAATGACAGTTGTAAATCTGCTTGACAAATCGATAATTAGAAATTTGTTATCTTTGTTTCGTTAATTCAAGATTTTGCCTAAGAGTAATTTATCTAAATACACATTGTTAATAATTTGAAACAAATCGCCGAGATGGAATCTATTTTGAAAACTAGTTGTTCAGAAAAGGTGAATTCAAGGGCAATCAGTCCTTTGAGAAGGTGCGAGAGTTCATTAGCAAGAATATTTCCAAACATGTCTGAAATGTTGTCACGAGAGGACAGAAACCAACTTTCTCGCTTAAATAAAGCAAAACGTCAACGCCTACGACCAAATCAAACTGTTTCCATAGATTCATCACCGATGATGATGCTTCCAAAAGCAAGAATCAGGAACGATTACAATCAGTTGAACAGACGAAAAATGAGTGTGATTTCGGCAGACGATACATCGGGCCTCCATCTTTCTACAATTTCAGGTTCTGCCATTGTTTCAAAATCCTTTTCCAAGTCTTCATTGCGAAATCATCATCACAGTAGTCGAAGTGATGTGGATAGTGGTATTGGTTCGATGAGAAGAAGTGTAACGTTCGATGAAATCAGCTTTGGACGATCATCGTTTAAATCAATAGACGATATCGACGCAATATCGGACTTTGACCAACAAGAAAGTAAGGAAAGGGACGATCATATATACGAGCCATTCCCTGAAGGCAGATACAATGAAATGCCTCAGTATGTGGACACATATAGTGATAATCAATTTACACCTCCCAAATTTTCAAAGAAGAAAAAACAAAAACGTGTTGTTCCTGCAACAAATCCGGACACCGAGGAAAATCACGAAGCAAATTGTCCTATATGCAGTGGATTTAATAATCAAACGGCGAGAATGCAGAAATATTTCGGTGGTGTTGACGAATTTTTCAAATGGTTTTGGTCAAGGTGGGGGAAGGTGAGTAATAAATTTTACACGGTATAAGAATATATATATCGCAACATATTTTGTTTAGAAATCGAAACTAAGTAGGTTGAGGCATTCAAACTAGGTATTCCATGGTAGTAAAAGGGGTAGTTGTACATCAACATGGTTGAAAACTTAAATATCACTTTTCAATGCATCTGTTTCTGACATACATATACATATAATAGCGTCAAATATATTAAATACACTATCTAGTGCGTTTTTATTTATTAAATGTTGTTTGTTTAACGTCCAGGGAGTGAATTTCTAATATACCTGTATTTTTTCATTTGTATTTCAAAAAAAGATATTCAAATTTCCTCATGGGGGTGCGCATTTGGTCGAACAGGATGTATAAACACGCGGAAACGCCCGGTCGGAATGGCAACGCTATATATACGGTCGCTGTCTCTAGTAGTGAGGATGTCACTCTTCCTCTGCATGTTAAAGAATCCATTTGGGAATAAATTTGAACTCTTAAAGGGGTCCGTCGATGGCTGAGGCATGGCAAAATGTCTGCCCCTATCCAAGATCCTCTCAATTCCCAGTGGCAGTCCAAATTTCCTGACGAACCACTCGCATGCAGAGTCTCAGTCTCGTCCTGAATATACCGGATATATTTACCACTGAACGTTAAGCAAACATCAATAAATCAATAATCAAGTTTGACATGGGCATACAAGTAAAGAAAATGCAACCAAATGCATAAATCTTTAATCGTATATGAACTTTCTATAGTTTTAAACAGGAAGTAAGAAATTCAAACAATTTTACAGTCCATATTTGGTTGTTACACATTGTAACCTAATACTGATAGAGTATCAGTTGCCTAATGGGGACAGGGGGCACTTGAGGTCATTTGTTGTGTTGCGTGTTTAATATTTTGTTTTATTTTGATGTGAATGTAAATGTCATCATTGTATTGTTGTTCATACATGTAATTGTTATGCCTTTGATCCTCTTATATGGGTGTCATTTGTGCTTAACAGAGTCATTTATTAAAAAAATACAGGCACTGAGTTTTGTCCCTGGAAAAAAAACTACCAATATATCTTAGTATGTATATAGATAATTGTGTTCAGAGACAAGTGCCCGTGTTTCAATGGTCAAATGGTTCTTGCACACAATAGGATTATACTAACAACAAAAAGCCGTACTATGTTATCAAATGGAAAAAGGCTTAGCAAATAATAAATATGTCCATGATGAACGAAACGAACAGTTTAAAATTGCCTTTAAATAAAGCTAATACTAACAATGACCACTGTCTTTTCCTCGATCTTGATATCTATATCATTAACGGGAAGCTTAATACAAAAATTTATGATAAAAGAGATGATTTTTCATTTCCTATCGTTAATTATCCATTTTTAGATGGAGACGTTCCCTTGTCACCATCTTATGGTGTTTATATATATCTCAACTTGTACGATTCGCTCGTGTATGTAACAACGTATAAGATTTTAGCGAGAGAAATTTATGTATTACTGAAAAATTATTACACCAGGGTTTTCGATATCATAAACTAGTCAAAACATTTACTAAATGTTATCATCGGTATATGGACATCATTCGTAAATATAAGTCAACATGCAGATATCTTATACGTTCGGATATTTCACATCCAATCTTTTATGGTAATATTCTTTACAAAGCACAAAAATGTCAGTATTCACCTCAAAAGCTAACAAAACCTTTAAACAGACTTATTAAGAAAGGATATAGTTACGATACTGTTGTCGGGTCATTAAAGATTGCATATTTTGGCTTTAATATTAATTCACTTATAGGGTCTTTGCATCGGAATTAAACACATTTATTCTAAAACCAGTTGTTGGCATGACACGGGTTATGTTCTTCTCATATATTTTATGACGGTATAATACTAAACCCCTAACAGGAGGGATTGTGCCTGATATTCATATGATGAAGACATAATCTTTTAATCAGTTTAATGGATGTCTGGAGCTGGCATGTCAGTAACTACTAGTAGTCTGTTGTTATTTATGTATTATTGTCATTTTCTTTATTTTCTTTTGTTTCCTATTCTGACATCGGACTCGGACTTCTCTTATACTGAGTTTTACTGTACGTACTGTTGTGCGTTTGTTTTTTCTACATTGGCTAGAGGTATAGATCTCAAAAAACATGTTTAACCCCGCCGCATTTTTGCGCCTGTCCCAAGTCAGGAGCCTTTGGCCTTTGTTAGTCTTGTATCATTTTTAATTTTAGTTTCCTGTGTATAAATTGGAATTTAGTATGACGTCCATTATCACTGAACTAGTATACATATTTGTTTAGGGGCCAGCTGAAGGACGTCTTCGGGTGCGGGAGTTTCTCGCTGCATTGAAGACCCATTGGTGGCCTCCGGCTGTTGTCTGCTCTATGGTCGGGTTGTTGTCTCTTTGACACATTCCCCATTTCCATTCTCAATTTTATTTAGAACTTGTAATTATTAGAAAAGAGTCCCAAGCAGACAATTGAATGAAAACTGTGCTGAGTTTAAAATATGGTTTTATTTAAAGGACAAGGTTCACTTTAGGCCAAATATGGCCTTGAAAGTCAACTTTATCATAAAATATCAAAACGGCCGTAGTTTGGTTCTTAAATGGATCTATTTCAAAAAGCCGTACTAGTAGGTTAAACAAATCTCTCCACTAGAGTATATTCCAGGCTTCAAAGTCAGCACTTTTTGGGGAGGATGATTTTGTGCATTTTTCGGACCAAGAAGCTCGAGTAAACCATTGGCCGCCACGTAGGTTCCAAAATGTTTTGTAGCCAAAAGTTACCGAAAATGATATTGAATCCCTAGACACAAAAACTTTCTGGATCAGGGGTGGCGGCCAAAGTTAAACCTATATGTTAAAAACGGTTCAGAATTATTGAAAATTAGACCAAAACTGACATTACAACACAAATAATGCATACTTGAGGGGCCATTTCTTCGTCATTTTAGTTATATCACAACTATTTCTATGTGAAATTTGCAGTATTTTGAAAACATCAAATTCTTTGGGCCAATTTTAAACCTTTGTGAACATACCCCTTTCCGAGAAGCGAACATATTATGGTAACAAACACAATATTAGCACGATCTTAAGTATTTTAAATATCAAGATGTTACTATTGTTCAGTGTAGACAAGACACTTCTCATTGCTCTTTAAATTGTCAGGTTTATCTATTTTAGAAGCATGTTAAGGGCTTCAATAATGTTTGATATGACGATTAAAGAAAATTAATGCCTTCATCAAACATTTCAAAATGATTGTTTGACTATACGGTAAAACTATTTACTTCCGTGTAATGACACGGCGTTTAAAACCTTAAAATTCAAACTCAAGACAAAGAACATCAATCGAACAATATAAAGATAAGTCCATTTTTTTAAATTACGTACTTATTTTTTTTCAAGTTAACCCTTTTCGGCAATTGGAAACAATTCCTAGGTGGGAAAGACTGTTTCCTGTTAGTTGAAAAGTTTTTTTTATGTACAACATAGTCTAATGTTTAGTCTGTAACTACAATTTATATCCAATGTTTTCCATGAATGATGCACAACATGTACTTACGAAGTCAAACTTGTAGATCAACTTAGATCCTGCACTATACATCGTTTTCAATCATTTTGTTTTTGTAATGACACAGACACAGTTTGCCCTACCTATAACTAGTGTCACTTTGTATGCATTGTCCGACATAAGCCTATAATGTGAAACTAGTTCTTAAACAGTTCTCGATACGTCCATTTGCTTAGTATACAGTATCCAGTTCAGATCGAGAACAAATGCATGTTCACCTCACTAGGACACCGTTTCAAAGCCGTCTTTAGTCCGTTTAAACCTGTTCGTAACTAGTTCTACTTCGTTCCCTATGCGTAGAAATCCGTTCTAATTAGTTACTAACTCAATTACATCGTTCACAGACAGTTTTAATTGTTCTGCCCACGTCCTCATCTCGTCTCAAAAATTAAATAAAACTAACATTCAACTTGCTAAAAACTGCAAGGTTATGCATGTTTGTGGGCATATAAGTAACAAAATGATAAATCAGTAAAAACAGGGCCTCTTTCAGTATACCAAACCTTATGTGTTATTACTGCAGACAACTTTTTTAGAACTTGTTATTTTGTTTTGATCGTATTTAGACGGAATAAAGACGCACTAAGGACTAATGAGGCCTAGTTGGGTCTCTGTGAGAATGGGATGGGATGAACGTGCTACAAACAGAATCCGTCTGTGTGCACATGTACATCCAATTGACGCCCGACCAAACCACGTCATATCACGTTCCTAGTACGTTCCAGGTACGGAAATTCCGTTCGTAGTACGTCCGTTTCGTTTTAACATTCCGTCCAAGGTAGGTAAATTCTAGAGAACAACTCCTGATCAAACCCGTCCACAAATTTCAAAGACCGACCGTAAAAAGTTGTTACTACGTTCACTCCGTCTACACAAAGTGTAACCCCATGACCCCGTACGGATACATTCTTCAGAACGTAGTGAGAATGAGTTCGAAGTGACGGGGCATAAAGATGAGACGGGATGACATCGCTTTTAAAATTGGTCCGATTTTAAATTATAAATCAATTTTTATATAAAAAGTGCACTACAGTTTAGGTGTGATTTTCAAGTATACATGTAGTTACGTTTATATTTGAAGAAAATACAACACGTGTGCGTGGGTTGGTTGCTCTCACTTATCTCCTGATTATTGTTTATCTATGCCATATAATTTATATTTCATGTACTTTCAAACACCCGTTTGTCAATTTAATGTTGAATAATATGTACCATATACTTTTTGTTTGAAGTCTCATTATGCCGACCTTAAGATTTGAGGATTGATATATGATTGTCTCAGTGGTAATTGATCGTCAATGTCGAGTGATTTTTGTCACATTGGAAAACAAAAGTGAATGGCACTAAATCGCATGTCTAATGTTTTATAATCTGTTCTAGATCTTGGTCATATGTATGCATGTAAGCTTTGA